GGGGGGGGGGGTGCGCCCTGGCCGCCACGGACGGCTTATTTTAAATGCTGGTTCCCACCCCGCCTGCGTGGCTCAGGGTCAGAGCATTGGCCGGAGCACTGAAAGTCAGAGGGACTGATGCCCGGTCAAGGGCATGCACGTGGGTAGTAGGTTCCATCCCTGGCCCCACCGGGGGCGCCTGTGGGAGGCAACCAATCAGTGTGTCTCTCACATCGATGTTTCTCTCTCTCTCTCTCCCTTCCACTCTCTCTAAACGTTAATGGGGAAAAAAATATCCTCAAGTGAGGATTAAAAATAAATAAAATAAAACAAACCCCTGGACAGACGGAGCCAGGCGCTGCTGCGGGCGGGAGGCGGGGAGGGCAGGGTGACCTCGGTGGGGGCGTCTGCTTCGTGGCCGGCGAGCCTTCCCTGTGCGCCCGTTGGCCCAGCTGGTCCATGAACACGGCTCCCAGCTCCCCAGACGATCGCGCGGGGAGCCCCGGGCCATTGACTCGGAAGGGACAGAGTTCTGAGGCTTCAAACAAAGGGACAGTGTTGCGTTTGGATGAGGTTCTCCGTTTTCCGCTTGGATAAAAATCCAGGCTGAACCAGAGGCAGGTGGGCCGTTCAGCTCAGCCTGGGGCCGGGAGCAGGGCCTTCCCTGCTGCCCGCGTGGGAGGGGAGGGGAGAGGCAGCCTGCGGTGGGCTGAGACGGAGGTTTCCCCAGATTTTCATTTCTGTGATGGCTGGAGGTCGAGTCCCATGTTCCCCCCTGGGTTTGATGAAATTAGATCTTGGGACAGGCTCCTCCTGCCCACCCAGGGGGCGGCCCACCCGTGCCCCACGCCTCACTGGGAAGCTGGGAGGACTTATATGGACCGGCTGGGCCAACGGGAGCACGGGGAAGGCTCGCAATAAAACAGAAGCCTCCACCCAAGGTCGCCCTGGCCCTCACCACCTCCCCACGCGGAACAGAGCCCGGCTGCGTTTGCCCAGGGGTTTGTTTTATTTTTATTTATTTATTTATTTTAAATAGGTCTTTATTGATTTCAGAGAGAGGAAGGAGAGGGAGAGAAACATCAATGATGAGAGAGTCACTGATCGGCTGCCTCCTGCATGCCCCCTGCTGGGGATCGAACCCGCAACCCGGGCGTGTGCCCTGAACAGGAATCGAACGAACCCCGATCGCCTGGATCCCAGGTCGATGCTCAACCGCTGAGCCACGCCCGGCTGGGCCCAGGGGTTTGTTTTAAAATCCACAGTCCCAGGTCTTGCCTGGCTCAGACCAGAGATGGGCCAGAGAACCAGCATTTAAACTAAGCTCCTGCAGTGGCCAGGGGCGCCCCATCCGGGGCCCTCTGTGTGAGTCTTCCAGACCTCTGTCCTGTTCACCCAGGGGGCACTCTGCACCCGCTGCCCCTCTTCCCCTCGAGGCCCCCTAGGCTGGCACCCGGGGCATACAGGGGCCTGCACACAGGAAGCGAAGGCCCAGCCGAGAATGGCCATCCCTGCCCCAGCCCCATCGAGGCTCCAGCTTCCCTCCCACCCCCATTCCTGGCCCATCAGTGCAACAGGAGTGGGGGCGCCCATGGCCCCGGCCTCAGCAGCAGCCCCCCCACCGGCCTGCACACTGAGCCTGCGTGCTGAGCTTGTCCTAGGGCCCCATCACCCCCAGAGCCTCAGACAGGACCAGCGTCCACATGGAGCCCCCACCCCACCCCGCTGAGCTGACAATGGCCACACTCAGCTGCCCAGGCCCATGGTGACATTCTGTCCCTTCCTTGTTTACCGCCTGGCACGGGGCACCTTGGCCGGGTCCTGTGTGCAGTTCCTGGACCAGCAGCCCCACTCGGTCTGCTCAGCAACCTTTCCCTGTCCCCTCCGGTCGCCAGCCCTGTGCTGGCTGCAGCGCCCCCGGCAGACGCCGCAGAGGCAGGCGGCCTGCTCATGAGGAGTGAGAGGGAGGGTCCTGAGGCAGGGGCCCTGTCGTCCTGGACAGTGGTGGTCCCTGCCTGGCTCCCCGGGGCCTGGTGGAAGGGGCCCTGGATGTGCTGGCAGGCCCCCCACGTCCTGGACCCTGTGGCTGATGGGAGCTTAGGGCCCTATTCGAGGTCCCTCCCAGCCCAGGCACGATGACCGAGGCTGGGCCTTGGCACTCACGGGCCCTTTTCCCGTTAGTAATGATTTCCTTTGCTTTTCAATTACAGTTTACATTCAGTATTACTTTGTATTACTTTTTTATTAAAAATTTCTAATGTTGACATAAGATTAAATGTGTGATAAGTGGATTCACTCCCATTGTTCAAGAGCCACACTCCCCGGTCACCGTCTTCCGTGTGTGCAGGGAGCCCATGGGAGGGGTTGGGGTTAGGGTTTTAGGGTTAGGGTTTTAGGGTTAGGGTTAGGTTAGGGTTTTAGGGTTTTAGGGTTTTAGGGTTAGGGTTAGGGTTGAGGCAGGGCACCAGCCAGACCAAGTCGGTCAGCTCAGGGCTCGTGGGGCAGTGGACCCCCATGTAGGAGGCGGCGTGGGGCGTGCTGACAGTCCCCTCTCTCTACAGTCATCCAGTTTGGCTTCGTCACCTTGTTTGTGGCGTCCTTCCCCCTGGCCCCCCTGTTCGCGTTGCTGAATAACATCATCGAGATCCGCCTAGATGCCAAGAAGTTTGTCACGGAGCTGCGCAGGCCGGTGGCCGTCAGAGCCAAAGACATCGGTGAGTGACCCACGGGGCGGGTCAGAGCACGTGCCGGGGTTGGGGAAGCAAGAGCCAGAGCCAGCAAAGTGGGGCCAGGCACGGGGCCCCCACGGCTCCTCGCTGCACCTTTCCTGGAAGGAGACTCAGAGACTCTGGGCGGGGGTGATGCAAGACCCCAAGGCTCCTTCACCCCCACCCCCACTCCCACCTCCCGACTCCTGAGATGTATTGGCCATGAGAATATTTGGGCAAGAGTTAGTCGCGGATATGTCTCAGCATCCACGGCCCCAGGTTCAAGCGCTGTCCTTCCCTTTGGTGACCCTCAGCATCCCCTCCCCAACCAGGACATCTGTGCGCACCATCCCCCAGAGGACAGAGCTAGACCGACGGGGAAGCTCATGTTACTTGCTTAACAAGGGCTTCCTATGTAGGGTATCATTTAATCATTTCATGTTCGCAAGAAAGAAAGGAAAGGAGGGAGGACCCCCCCCCTTCCCCTGATGAAGGAAGACCATTGCCTGTAGGGGTCGGGGCTGAGGGGCAGCCCAAGCTCTTTAACCTTAAGTCTTTAAGGGGCTCCTCACCCGTGTGAACAAGAGGCTGGGCCTTGGGGGCTCACACATCTAATGTCAGCACAAGAAATAACTTTCTAATGGTTCTTGTGAAGTAGTGAGCTCCCCGTCACCAGAGGCATTTAAGCCAGTGTGGGTGCCTGCCTGTCCAGGGGTGGTGAGGGATGTGGGGACATCGGGTGGTGGGTCTCAGAGCCCCGTGCACCCCGGCCAGAGGCAGCCCGCACCGACAAGCACCCTGCCGTCTTATCTTAATACCTTGCCGGCTGGCTGTTTCAAGCCAGACTCACCCATGCTGCCGGCTACTTTTCCATCGTGACCTGTCAGCAAGGTGTTAAAGTCAGTCCGCTTAAACTGGGACCCAGTTTTCATGATGGGAGAAAAAAAAAAAGTGTCGTGATTTTATCTTGAGTTAGAGAATTACAAAAATATTTTCATTATATCTGTTATGTAACAGTCATATCGGGGACAGAACTTCAGTGCTAATTCTTGGAATGAATTGCATGCTGGAGATGTTGTCCTTTTACCAGAATAGAGACTGGGTAGCAGTGTGACAGGACACCCCGGGCCTTTCCCACGTAGGGTGTCAGTTACCCATTTCACCGTTTCGTAGCCCAGATATGGTGTTGCCACGATGCAGGGCCTCCATCAGCCCCGCCAGGAGCTCCTCTGTCCTCTTTGGAACTGCCCCCCGGCCATCCCATCCCTGTCCTTGGTCCGAGCCTGGGCCTCTGCTGGCCGGCCCACCCCCCGATGGTGGCCAGACCCGCCACCCCCACCATCCACCTCCGAGATGGCTGGGACTCCAGCTTCCGTCACAAGGGTGGTCTCTTGGGGTGAACTGTGGGAAATCTCCATCTCCCCGGCTCGGACATGGTCACGTGTCGGTGATTTCGTCTGGTTCAGGAGCAACCCCACATTCGAGCTGTGGGATCCGTGGGGGAACCTGGGGCCCAGCTTTGAGAGGAGCCTGGAGACCCTGGCTTTCCATGGGGAGGGACGTGGGAGCCAGGACTCAAGTGTGGCGGCCACCACCCTCGTTCTGACACCTTAGCTTCCCTCCGTCTCAGCGCAGACGCCCTCCCTGCCCCTTCCCTGTAAGGTTCCGCGTGCGATTTGCAGCGGCCGCTGAGGCCCTTGAACTAGCTGGCGCTCCGAGTCCCTTCTGGCCCCTGGTTCTGCCCCGTCCGTGGCCCCCCCGACACGGTCCGAGCTCAGCACCCGAGCCTGTGAAAGCCCCCGGGAGTCAACGGTCAGTCTCCGTGGACCGGGAGGCCATGTCCTCGTGTCCAAGCAGCCAGGTCTCACACATTCTCATCTCACACGTTAAAATGTAAGAAGCCAGTCTTCGCTACGGGCCACCCAAACCCAGGCCGCGTTTGCAGGGCCCCTCTGGAGACTGAGACTCCGCAGCAGGCCCGTTACGCGCTGCGCCTGCTCCGCGGGCGACCCTGGCGAGTGGGCCTGGACTTGAACTTCTCCCAGGTGACCTGTGGTCGGGGCCTCCGAGGAGCCTCTTGAGGAAGGTTGGGCAGATCCTGGGTCCCACTTTCCAGATGGCAGACCGAGGCCAGGGGGGTGACAGAGCTGTGTCACCGGCTCTGCACACATCCACGAGGAGCGGATCCTTGAGAAGCTCCGATGGCACCAGAGGCCTCAACGGGCAGTGGGTGGCCTGCCAGGCGCCCCGGAGAGTCCCTGGGAAATCCGGAGCCCATGCAGTGGCAGTAAAGGGGTGAGCATGGCCTCCCCGGCCCTCATTTCTTACAAAGGCCCGATTCTCAGGTGCCCGGAGGCCCCAGGCGAGTCCCCGGCAGGCAGGCGTGTGTTTGCCTTGGCGCCCGTTGTTTGGCAAAGCCCTCGCTGTCCCCTGCGGCAACATCCTAAAACTCTAAACCCACCAGGGGGAGAGGAGCCTGGGGCAGCCTCCGGCCTCCACGGTCCACTGCGGCCAGTGTTCCCACCGCAAGCGAGGCTTGGCCGCGGGCCTGCGGGGGCTTGGCTCGCAGCTGCTGGGTTTTTTTCTGGTCCTGGCAGATCAGCCTCTCGCTTCCCGGTTCCTGTACGGTTGGTTGAAGACATAATCTGCTTCCTTTCACCGGTTTGCTTTGCTGTAAGCTTTCCTTGAAGAGGCTTTTGTATTCTCCCTGTGATCCATGCGGGGCCCAGAGGGGACAGAGGGCCCCAGTGGCCCCTGCGACCTGCACCCATGGGGTGGGGTGGCCGGGACAAGCTCTGCCACAAAGGCACGGCGCCCCGATTGCCCTGCCTGGGCATGGAGAGGGGGCGTGGCGATCGCCGCAGGGGACCCAGCCCTGTGCGTGGGAACCGGCTTCAGCTTCCAGCCCTGACCTCTGACACCAGATGAACGCGCTTCCTGCTCTCAGCCTCTTTCTGCAGAGCCTCCGGGTAACAAACTCCTGCCTGTATTCAGCTCCGGCGCTGCATGTGGTCAGGGGTGACTAAACACCTCCCTGTCGTGTTCTTGGAAATGGGGCTTAGGGCCTCTAGAGTGACAGAGGTGCCCAGAAGAAGGCAGCTTTGCCCTGCGAGGTTTCGTTAAGGAAACCCAGAGATTTTCCCCGAGAGCATCTTCCTGGCTCCTGGGGATCAGCACGCAGAGCGATGGTTCCCGCTGTGGAGTGCGGCCAAGCGCCTGGGGGAGAGTCAGACCCCGAGACAGGCTGCTCTGGTGCCCTGGTGCCCTTAAGCATGACCCCCTGATTCTGGTGTGGGGGCCTCACAGAGGACCACCGGCCACCACATGAAGACACTGTGGCACCTGTAGGACGGGCTTAGCTCCCAACTTCTGGAAAGCTCAGGCTGGCCCACCTGCTCCCTGCTGCCACGTTTCTTGGTTCATTGGGCCAGTCACTGGCCCAGCCACAGACCTGTCTCCTTGTGCTGAGCTCAGGGGCTGCCCCCCGTGGGAGCCCGCTACCCGGAGACCTCAGCCTTCCCCGGGCTCACCCGTGCCCAGCACCCCAGCTTGGAGATCTCAGACTTGGGCCCACAGGTGGGCTGCATGAACGAGTGAATGGTACCCATGGGAAAATGCTCTCACGGCCACGGAGCCACGTGCCTGTGACCCTGTTCCTGCTCTCAGGAGCCACAGCCAGCTTGTACCTGGATTAGGTCACAGCTCCCATGGGTGCAGGGACTGCTGATGGAGGCATGGTCAGTCGCTGCTGTCACAGAATTGTCACAGGCCGGGCTGGGGGGCAAGAGAGCTCAGCATCTCACACGCTGGCCTCGGTGCTGCCTCCAAGCCCATGGTTTCTAGCTTCGGGGCCACAGGGACCTGAACTCATGTCTCTGCAGACCATCAGCATGCACCCCCAAAACAGGGCTAGGAGGCGCCCCAGGAGCTCACTGTTCTCCCGGCCTGAAGCAGCCTCCACCCCGGGTAGAGAAACTCCACCCCCCCCATTCTTCAGTAATGACAATGATACTAACGGGCCTCAGGCCTCTCCCGTCCTTTCCAAGAAGCACCGGTTATCATCCGTCTCAAATCTGGCTCAGCAACAGGGTTCCTGGCCCAACAGGACTGGGTTAGGGTGGGGTGGGGATCAGGCAGGGGGTGCTGGGCCCCTTCCCAGGAGTCACAGCGTGGAGGCCCTAACTGGCAGGGCCTGCTCTGCGCCCCCGGATAAGGTGCCTCCTTCCTGGGCCCATGGAGGAGCTCAAGCTGCTCCAGGTGCAGGGCGGCGATCCTCTGCCCACCTGGGACCAGGTGCTATGGGAAATGGTCATTATACCCAGGACGTGACCCAGCCTCACCCACCGGGGGCCCTGGCTTTGCTCTCCGACCCCGTCACTACTTCAGGCTGGTCCCAAAATACAAGGACAGATGCCCAGCCGGTGTGGCTCAGGGGTTGCGTGTCAACCTAGGATCCAGGAGATCGCAGTTCAGTTCCCGGTCAGGGCACATGCCCGGGTTGTGGGCTCGATCCCCAGCAGGGGGCATGTAGGAGGCAGCCGATCAGTGACTCATCATTGATGTTTCTCTCTCTCTTTCCCTCTCCCTTCCTCTCTCTGAAATCAATAAAAACATATTTTTAAAAGTATGTATATATAGAGACAGAAAAAAAGAGCTGTCTAATAGTGCTAGGCACCAAACCTCATGGGCTTGGGCCAAGTTTCCATGCCGTGGGCTCATATGGGCGGGAGCTACACCTGAATCAAACCTTTGTCTTTCTAGAAAAAAGGCATTGTCTAAACCAGTTAGTATATAAACAGGTTCCCGGGGGCTTGTTCGGGACACTTAAGGGCCAGCTGGTTTTAAGCACCTCGTTTAGAAGCTACGATTTGCTTACAAACAGCTGATGGAGCCGCAGGAGCCACGCGCAGGCTCGGGCGTCAGCAGGTGTCCGAGGGCCCCCAGACCGGCCTGCCAGCCGGAGGCCCGAGACCAGCTGCGGGAGCCTCTCTAACCCTGTGCTTCTCCCGCCCCGCCCCAGGAATCTGGTACAACATTCTCAGAGGCGTCGGGAAGCTTGCCGTCATCATCAACGTAAGTGACATCCGTCGGGCAAAGGGAGGCCCTGGCAGAGCTGCCGGGCAGCTGGGCACCCTCTGCCTCCAACCTGGGTGCGGCTGCAGGCTGGTGGCAGCATCTCCTCTTTGTTAGTGTCCCTTGGTCGTGTTGAGACGTTGTGGGGGGCTCTGGGCGGGAATCACAAATTCTCCTCAACTTTTTTCTGCCACCTTGAGTGAAAGTCTCCAGCATGCCCACCTTGACCCCTAAGTCCACTCTCTCCCCAGGGTCCTGAGAACAAACGAGAGCGAGAGAGACGGAGAGACATTGAGAGAGATTCCTCATAGGCAATTATTCTGCTGGTGTGTGTTTTTAAAAAAAAAAAAAAAAGTGCCCTGGCTAGTGTGGCTAAGTGGTTAGAGCGTCAGCCTGGGCACCAGAGGGTCGCAGGTTCGATTCCCAGCCAAGAACATGTGCTTGGTTTGGTCCCCAGTAGGGGGTGCACAGGAGGCAGCCGATAGATGTTTCCCTAAACTCTCTCTCCCTCTCCCTCTCCCTCTAAAAGTCAATAAAAAATCTTTTAAAAAATTGAAAACAAGGTCTGAGGATTGTCCAGTGGGTGTTGTCAGCCCTGTGTGGCAAAAAGAAAATAGAGGCACAGAGAGGTTAGGTGACTTGCCTGAGGCCACACAGCCAGTAAGAGGCTGCCAGCATTCATCCCACGCCTTCCCGCTCCTCCGGCCGCCAGGGGGGCTGACAGGAGCGCCCCCAACCCTCCTTCATTTGTTCACTGGGCGTCTCGATCACATTGCTAACTCTGGGCAGGGTGTGTCGCGTGGCCGGGCCCAACACGCAGGACCCACGCTCACCCCCGTTGTGCCCGCCCAGGCGTTTGTGATCTCCTTCACGTCCGACTTCATCCCCCGCCTGGTGTACCTCTACATGTACAGCAAGAACGGGACCATGCACGGCTTCGTCAACCATACCCTCTCCTCCTTCAACGTCAGCGACTTCCAGGATGGCACAGCCCCCAACGACCCCCTGGACCTGGGCTACGAGGTGCACATCTGCAGGTACGGCTGCTCGCCCCTCTCTGTGAAGAGCCCTGTTGGCTGGGTTTTGGGGAGAAGCAGGTTCGAGCCAGGATTCTTTCAGGGGCAAGTCACAGAGCAGCTCAATCTTGCTTCAGGGAAAAAAAAATCCCTTAATTCCTTTAACTACGAAGTCCAGGACAGCTTCAGGCATGGCTGGATCCAGGCGCCAGAGTTTGCCATCGGGCCTTCTCCAGGTGCTGCCTCCCAACTTTGTTTCCTCCGTGCTGGCATCATCTCCTGGGTGGCAGAACGGCCCCCCAGGAGCTCCTGCTTTGTACCCTCCCCTCCGCTGCCCCAGTGGCAGGAATGTCTCTTGCCAGTAGTCAGGAAAAGCCCAGGACCGAGTCCACTGGACTCTGCAGGTGTGGCTGGTGCCATTGCAACAGCAGACACTCCTGGTGGCCCTGAGTGATCAGGGAACAGTGACGTGGTGCCCCGTGTGCTCTGTGTCAGGGAGGAGACTGTGTTTCAACACACACACAGGTGGGCACATAAACCCGAGAAAGGGCAGGGCGACCCATTCCACCCCCTGCCTGGTCCTACCGCAGGCAGGTGTCCCAGGGGCCAGGCGGGCGGAGCCCGAGCCCCGTCACTCAGGAGCACCGACACCTTCACACTGAACATTCGTGCCAAGGACACCCTCGGGCTTGACCTACTTAACTAAACGGGAATTTTAGAGGCAGAGTGATTAAGAGGAAAGAAGGGGGGGTCTGTGGTCCTTTCATTAGGACCCCCCCTCAGAGGTGCCAGTGCTGGTGTCTGTGGGGTCAGCCTTGGGTTTGAGGATCAGGAAGCGGGTCACAGGCCTTGGTTAAGGAAGCGGCCCCCCGTCCCATGCATCAGTGGGGGTGTCCTGGCCGCTCGGGGCTGAAGACAAGAAGACAGGGCGAAGGCCCGTATTTTTAAGTGTCTTGTTGCTCTCCCCCCATGGAGGCGGAACCCCGTGGGCCAGACCGCTGCACTCCCGGGAATTCGAGTTTAGCCAGGTCCACCCTGTCCCCTGGCCGTGATCACGGGCTGCAGGTGCTGGGAGCCCCACGCCTGCACCGGCCGCACCCATGTCAACCCACCTCCTGGAGGAGCTGGCAGCGGGAGGCGTGGCACCCAGCCCAGCCCGGGGCTGTGGGTGTGAGAGAGGCGGCGTAGCAGAGCCGAGAGCTGCGATGCTGCTGGCTGCCACCTGTGCCTGCACTAAAACAGGCCTGTCTCATGCGAGGCTCGCAGCCATCCCCACAGAGGACATGATCATTACTACCCTCCCCGGGGCAGCTAGCAGGTGGCTGAGGAGAGCCAAGCCAGGAAAAAATAAGATCATCTCTGATGGAGGTCAGTGCAGGGGATGGCACCTGGACAGGCCTGTAAGTGGGCTTTGAGGGATGCATAGGAGTTTGCCAGGTGACCCAAACACATTTCCCAGTGTCCCGGTGCAGCAGGCCTTGAGCACAGAAAGAAGAGGGAGGAGAAACGTGTGTGGCTTCTGATGCTGGGAGAGCACGGGCTGCCTGTTCCCATCGGAGTTCGGGTTGTGCAACTTTCATGTCGCTCAGCAGCTGGCACCAGACTGTGTTCCCAGCCCAGTCCTATCTCTGGGGTTGGCAGCTCAGCCTTCCCGTCTAGCTCATTCCAGACGTAAAGCTCTGTGGGTGAGGGGCCCTGTCTGTTGCGTTCCCTGCTGAATCTGCACCCTGGATGGGGGTCTGGCACGTAGTAGCTGCTCGATAAATGCCCATGATGGGAATAAGTGAGGGAAAGCCAGACAGAGGCCAGAGAGGCCAGGTGATGGTGCAGGGGTACACAGCAAGGCAGTTCCTGGTTCTGGGTGCAGGCCAGGCTGCTGTGCTCACAGAGCCAGGAGCCACCCCTCCTGGTCTCTAACATCAGCTTTTCGGGGACCAGCGGGGGTCCCTCACCTGGAAACTGTGGGGTTTTTCTCAGCGCGTTTCCAGTGCAGAGTGGTGTCAGCCCCTTTAAGCCGAAGCGCCCTCTGAATTCAGGGAGCAGCTGGATGGGCCTAGGTGGAGACGGGACCTCGGGCTCTGTCCTGGGCATCTCTGGACCTCTGTGAAAGAGGAAGGGAACGGAGAGAACCGAAGCTCAGGAGGTGCCCGTCACGCCCACTGGTGGAACGGTGGACAGACAATAAATAAAGATCATCTCGGAATGAGGGACAGAGGCAGGGCCT